GGTGTCCTTCATCATAGCCGAATTTTAATTCTACTGGCAAAATTCTAAAAAAAAAAGTTGTCTAATACTTCAAAAACATAACTACCCCTAGCCTGAGTTCATCCAGCGTTTACCCGTAAACGCGGTCTGAGAAACAGTGCACGATATCGTGTTCTCTGTGTACCTGGATTTGAGTACACGCTCTCATTGGTTCATTCTTACATGTATTTTGATTGGCTTTACACATCGTCCCWGGGCCTTCTCAGCTGTCAAAACAATGTGATTCGTTTAACGCGTTTCTCACCTCACTTGAGGTGAACCTTTTCGTTRTTGCGATTTTTGTCTTCTTGTAGATTGTAAATCATTTGGTTTATGCTCTGAACATATCATTATTTAAAAGTAAAATGACCGATATCTATCGAAGGAAATGAAGTCACAATTCAATGTAAATTTTGAGTTGAAAAGCCTATCTATTGTTTGTGACTTGAGGAAATTTTATATTTGCAAGTCGTGCCGYTTGATGWTGTTTATATGATAAAAGAAAATATAGACCAAACTAGAATCAGAAATATGTTGTCGAAACGGCAAAGTTCATCAGTGAGAGGTTTTAGGATGAAGATATATACGCATTCTCAAGTTCAACAGCAATTCTTCATTCGCTCTGTTGTGGTTCTGTCTATTTTAACCTGTACTCCAATTCAAAGTCAAACTCATGTTAAATTTTCAAAGAATGTAAGAGTAAGAGATCAGCTTTCAGCTTGTAAACTGTTTATTTCTCCTACGCGTTTAATCAATCCGAAACACCAAAACACCCTTAAAACAACCAATCATCATCAGGTAGCCAAATCGTATTTTTTTTGGGGGGGGGGATATCGTGCAGTGTTGCGCAGACGGCTAATTTTGAAAATATACCGGATGTACGCAGCCTAAACTACCCCAACCCCTCTGAGGATGCTTGGCATTGCATATACCGCTAACTGTAATCTCTTTGAATTCTACTGGACCACGCGGGTTTCTGTTATCAGGCATCTATTATAAGGTTATAACCTGTACTCATACCTTGAAGGCGTTGGGGTTCTGATCGTGTACTTTTTTAACTGAATTAGGGAACAGGTTGTTTACGACACTACAAAAAGGAAATATTATTAGTGCACTAAAGACATGCAAACTACTTTCATTTCGAGATGTGACCTACTGGCAGAGAATGACTCCATCTGTTAGTGGTTTGGCGAAGTTATCACCCAATCTAGCCTCATCACCAGTCCCCCATTCCACGGACTGTCCCGACATATTCGCAACCCAAGCCATAGCGTCCGCCTCCCATTCTTTGGGATATTTAGCAGCTATCTGTAAAGAAAAGACAGCAACATACGGTAAAAAGGACTGGACGGGGAAAACAAACTATTTGTAAAAGATTCATATGAAACAAATGAAAGAAACTGACACAACATCTCCAATAATGTGTGATTTATATAGTAACGAATGCTTATATGGTTGCTGCTTCGTCAGGATTACGATAAGCTCTATTTACAAGTTTTACCAAAACTATCGAATGTAATTTGCCCGCCAGGTCATCGTCACAGTTGACTATTCTTACAATAGCCTTGAATCAATGTGTAAATTGATTGTTTTATTCTGTTGTTTTCTATCCTAGGAACGAGGCTATCCCCGCCMGTACTGGAATTGCAAGAATATCACGCTACAACAGTGCAGATTTACTWTAAATACTCGTTTTAAATCCCAGCGACAGTTGCAGCCATTTTGTAGGCCTATATAATTCTTTATACTTGGCAGTTTTTGCGTGAAAAAAATTGTGGTTCCCTCTGTATTTAGTCTGGAATAACCACAAAAACAAAATCCACAAACAGGGTGTGACAGTCACTTCCTGACAATGTGTGATAAACAAATAATTCATACAAATCATTGAACAAATGACGAGAAATTATTTGTAAATGCGAATTCGATATTCAGAACATTGATGTTTAGCAGTGTCACTCTATTATTTGGGATCGTATACGTGGTCTGTTTTAAGAACATTCGGTGTTTGCCTTCTTTGCGTGTTTTTGTTTTTGAAGTAACGAATCCCCATTGCATTCATTTGACATTTCACCTCAGAAACTAAATAATCTTAACCTTTCACGAGTATCGAGAACGTTTTGAAAATAGTCACATCTGTCTGACAGATCCTCTTCTATGCTAAATCAAAAGACTTGGAAAAGTAGTTMTTACACAGTGGAAGATCATTCCATTTAGCAATCYTAGTTTTTGACGCGAAAAAGAAGTTTGAGTTCAATGAAAGAGTAAGTAAGTTTGGCTGTGAAGATAATTATCTTCTCTTATCGTTTGCTCAAAGGTTAAATTCTTTACGGTATTCTAAGGACTATTCAGCTTTGTGCGAGCTGAGAAATCATACTGTAACAATGGCTCTATTATCAGTTTGCCTTCTTTGTTCAAACTGCAGTGCAAGTTAATTTCTCTCTTTATCGTTAGAGTAAGAATGTACAAAAAAATCTGTCACTTAAACTTAAAAATATCTAAGTTCAATGGCTTTGAAAATGATCAGAAGGAGCGAAAAATGCTGAATCCATAATTTTCATGCAAGTGTTGCATGTATTTTAKAGTATGAACTGCATGTTGAAGAAACTAAATATTCGACTTATTAAGAAATGGCTGCATTGCACACGCTTTTCCTTAGTAGTCAAGTGTGAGGACTCGACATCCAATTCATAAGTTTATGTAGCGTATCGTGTTTTTTTACTCTTGATAACATTACAAAGCGCTACAAAAACGCATTGATATTGACGAGGCCTGAGAAGCGCASACTGGCTGCATGCAGTATTMCAAACAAAARAATGTATTGAGGAGTAAATTAACTCCGATTTAATTTTGTAACCAGCTTTCCCATTTTACTGCTAATTTACCTTCTTCTCGGCCTCGGCCCCGATTCCCTGTTTCTTTGCTCGTGTTCCAGACATCCCCAAAGAAAGACTTACTAAACAAACGCGAACAGCTGGGCGAGCAGCTGCTCTTGTACCTCAGCCCAGTCACGCAACCTACTACATGTCCGTCGTGATTTGACCATATACGTACATCGATAATGAAATAGCTAATAGAAGYCAAACCCTGCCCAATAACGCTGGAATTTGTGACAGTCTGTCTGGTTATTGTTAGAAGAGCGATAYCTATGATATACTTGTCATTAACACTTGTGAATTATCTGAAATATATTTGTTGCCTATTTTTATTCTTGATATTTCCTTTCGCCGCTTTGTTCTAATCTTTCTGTTTTTTTCGTCTTTTAGGAAATTTATTCTGATCATTTCTGTTTTGTTTCTTTTCGCCGTTTATGTTTTATTACCACTGGTGACGCTAAATTCTCTTTCCTGTAAATCCTTGTCACACCCTCTTTATCGTTCTTGCAGAAATTATGAAATGTACTGTTTTATAATCGTTGGAAGCGCAAACCTATCTAGCGTAACATCATTAATTAGAACGGTTATGTATTTGCTATTTGTTTTTAATGACTTACGGGTTGACTATTAATGACTTCACCCGTCCATGGCCTTTCAGCTAGGTACGTGTTTGAAATGTCAGACAATCCACTACTCAGTTATCATATACAGTCTTACAGGTAAAGTAATCGATTATCTGTATTGATGCGTCTATCAAATCTCAGTTACAAACACGACAAATGATGGATGAGAAAAGCTACAAATATTGAACAAAAATATAGAGATGCAATACCCTATTTCAATTGAGTATTTAATTAATAGTTTCATCAAACTAGCAAACAGATGAAACGATTGACAGGTTAAATTAAAATGCTAACATAGGTGTATAGAAATAATGAGGTAAAGTGATATGTCTATTTCCAGGTATAGAACCTCCTGCGACTGAGGCTCTGACTTGATTGATAGTCTTGAATAATATGTAATGAAAGGGGAGCTATTTAATTTATCTCTTCAATGACAAGAAGATGTCTAAATTCTATAGCACAAATGTAACAGGTCCCCCAGTCAGGAATTTGATACTGTATTTTTAGTATGATTGCGGGGTTCACAGGAATGTAGTCACACAAAGGCAGGTCGCATTTTATTTGTAGGAAGTAAATGCATACATTTCTCATTGCAATTCGTAGGTTTGTCCGCAGACGAACTTTTATGTAAAAAAATAGGTAATGAAAACTCCCTCGAGCTCAACTGTTACTAGAAAATCTCGTAGAAAAATTACACGCAACTTCTATGCAATGCACACATGCTATCATACAAWTGCGCATATGTTGCAAGTTGAAGAGTCATATTGAATTCATGAAAGAGGCAGTTACAGTTTAGGTTGTCTWACTACCASCTGAACACCAACGATTCAATTATGACATAATGACGATAACACAGCAATTTGTTATAYAGTACATCCAAGTTGTTATTCTATCTCTAATTTGATAAAAGCTTTAATAAAAGGTGAGGGGTCAAAATAATGGGCCCGTTTATAGTGAGTGGTCGAAAAGTGTCCTAACTATGATGGTGTTCGCTTCAAAGGACGGTTTATTGATTGTACAGCACTTATGATTAGCGGATGAAGGCAATCATGGATGCTGTTTAGATATTATACTGAACAAAATACTCTAAAAGACACAAAGCAATTTACTCGTACCTTTGTTGTAGCTTCTGCAGAAAAGCCATGTTTAGCTGGTCGGAACGCCATCTTGAATGAATTCGTCTATCAACCAGGCAGAGTAACCCTGCACTATAAGCTATCTAGGGTATCCTTATAAGGAAATTATGTTGGAGGTCATTAGTCTATAATTGCTGTTTATAAAGTGAGCTGGGTCAAGTACTCATGCGCATAAATCTCAAATTTTGTGAAGTATCAAAGGCGTGGCTTGATCTGATAACGGGTTTGCCTTGCTTAAATGGACACAGTCAATGGATGACATGCGCAGTAACAGTCTCACCTCTAACGGACTTTGAAAGTATAACCTTCGAGGTAAATCATTTTGTGGTGCTTTTGACACACTTTGGAATATTCTAGATCTGTTTAAGTTTACGATCTGATTTATGTCGCGCCAACTGGGAGTCATAAACTTGAAAACACTANCTAAACAACACACTCAAGACATTGCTACCACCTTGGTCACTTAACTGAGAAAAGGGAATTTTTTAAAAGAGAGTGGTCGATTAGCGGACGAATTCGTCCGCATGCCTGTTAAAGGGTTAAACAAAAAATACTTTTTCCCACTGTATTGATTATTTTATTTCAAACTTATCTGAAAAAGTTTCTCTAAATAAGAATAGTCCCAATTGGCAACTTTTTAGCCAAAACCCATGAGGCCGCACGCAGTTATAGAGGAGGTACTCGCAATATCCAACGTTTGGAGCCTTTATAGCAAAACGCGCAAAGTCCAAGGTATGGGCGTGGTGAACAAGATCTGCACGCATAGCTAGAAAGCTATAACTACTGGAGCACTGCAACATGRCAGTACAGATTTCAGTTAAGGTCTCAGTTCTGATTGCAGGAGGCCAGTCACGTGACTAGACCTTGTCTAAAACCCTAACCCTATCTCTAACCCTGCGTTACACCTAAAGCCAAACCCTAGCCCTAAGCCTAAGCCTAACCCTAGTTCAGCATCTCTAACCCTTTCCAAACATAAACCCTAGCCATAACCTTCTTGCACCACCAGTCAAAACTGTGGGTCACGTGACCCTTGGTTTTGGGATTAATCTGTTGTTAAAACCAAGCCTTGAGCAGTCGACCAGGAAAAAGATAGGATTGAAGTGTTGTTGACCAGTTTAGATTACAAGGCAGAGCTTTTTTTAGGTCTCTCCTTACATGAGCTATTTTTTTAAATTATTTCATGCACTCAAAGGTATTTTCATTCAGTTCAATTCTGTTGGATAATTGTTGAATAAGAGAAGTTAATGAAAATGTATATTAATAGCTACAATAGCTACTAATGTATTTAATAGCTACAGTTTATGGATTCCTTAATTAACGTATGGTGTATTCTAATTATTCTTTCGGGAAGAGGAAAATGGGGAAAAAATGTTATAAAAGAACTGTTAAATTGTTAGCAGGGTTTGCATGCACGTAGAGTGTGCATTCTATCAACCGCTTTTTTAATTTGTTGATATGGTTGAATAAAATGGTGCGATTTGATTGGCTTAGTGGTATTTATACTGAATAGTGGTATTTCAAATTGTATACAATTTTATTCGATCATAAACAAATAATAGCAGTTTTCGTAAGTAGAGGAATTTGTGATAATTACCACTTGTGATACACCTACTTGCAGAAACGTTGTCATAGAAAATAGAACATTTAAATTTAGTAAAAACGAATAAATTAAAACAAGACAAAAGAAAGCGTTCAGCCTAAGTGATCTTCTTTTGTCTTTTTTTTTATTCCTTTTCACTAAATATAAATGTCCTATTTTCTATGACAACGTTTATGCAAGTAGGTGTATTTCAAAATTGTCACAAGCTTCACTTGCTTAGCTTGTGAAGTTTTGTTTGACAATTTTGAAATATCTTGTGTGGTATTTATAATCCCAAATACCACCACAAAACTATTACCTATAGAAATATTCATATTTTTGAGACCACACATCAAATAATATTTTTCATAATTTGTTTGTATTGTTATTTATGTAATCTTGTCTAATCTTTTTACTAAAATGCATTTTTACAAATAGAAGCTTTTTCATGTAGCAGTAATATATTTATTATTTAACAAATATATCTAATTTTTCCGTGTGTGTGTACTCTAATAGATACACAGATGACGTCAAAATGTAGTGAGAATAAAAAAGTACGCACGAGACGCAGTCGAGTYCGTGACTGTTGTTCTCACTACATTTTGACGTCATCTGTGTATCTATTAGAGTACACACGCACGGAAAAATGAGATCTGTCTGTTTTATACAACAAACAATTAGTTTTGACGTAATCCGTGTATCTATACTTTGATAACACACGAAAGCCAACCAATCAAAACTTCTGATTTTACTGAAAAGTTGTATAATTATCTATAGTTTACCTTGAATTTGTAATTGCATTTTAAATAAATTTTTACAATAGAATTTTAATGTATTTACTGTTTTTGACCATGAATTCCCAATTCGAAATATCTCTATGTAAGGACAAAATTAAGAGAATGCCCGTCCCGAAAATACTTGAATACGGAATTTTCGATCGTTTTCATGCTGAAAACTCTAGAATTCGTCTCGTGCGCGATAATATGCGGTAGCGCATATCACACGTGCGCGAATTTTCCTGAGTATTCAAGCTTGTTCGTGTTGTCATTTTACGAACTAATCTGAAATTTAGTCCAGAAAACGTTGCGTATTAGAGATTTTACAATCGCAAACTTCGCATATTCCAGAAATATTCAAATATTCATTAAGTTAATGATAACATTTGTTATCACCCGGTAATATTCGGGGATATACGACTCGAAAACGGAAAAACAGTATGTATTCGATCGAGTCGAGTGATCCCCGGCTGATGTCGCGTCATTCGAACTTGCAGGCTAGTAACGAGGTATATTTTTTTGCTGTTCATCCGGATCAAAAGGGCCTAAAAACGTGATCCCGATCCCAAAACTCCGTACATTTTGAGCCGTGATCCCCTTACAGATCGAATCGTTGAAAAATATCATTGATCCCGATCCCAAATGAAAAACCTTGGATCCCAGGTTAAATCCATTTGATCCAGATCCTGGGCCTAAATCCTGATCCCTGATCCCAAAATAGTCCAAAAAATGACGCTGATCCCTGATCCCAAGACCTCGTTACTAGCCTGAACTTGAGTACCTTTGAAATTCATCGAAAACTTAAAGTATTCGGGTACATATTCGAGCGAGTTCGATTCGAAAATTCGCCTTTACACAGTGTTCCAAACTATATGTCTTATATTAAGTGCGCAATCTCAACTACACCGGCAACTACGCAACTACGCAACTATGAAAACTTTGCTCCATCCTTTCAGTCAAATCAACATGACTTAACAGCTGTAGAAAACAAATCACGACGAAAGGATAAAACGCAGGTTATTCTTTCTATTCTTGGCCTTATTACTCTTATTAATACACGCTTATCTGCAGCCAATCAACGCGTGAGAATTTACCGGCAAATGAGTGTGGTAAAATACACTTGATCTTTAAAAATCTTTTGAAGTAAAGAAAAAATCAATTGACATCAAAAACAGATTCGAACCGGCAAACTTTCCCTTACAAATCCAACACCAAACACTGTATACCCAGTGACTACCGATGTCAGAATCGGAGCATAAAAGTAATTTAAGTTTTTTCTTGAGGCTTGTTAGCATTGGTCCAATGAGACTGACGAGAAAAATAGTTATGTTAATGAACCCTTTGGGAATTGCTAGTAAGTGGTTTTCCTTCGAAAACAATGAGAGTGTGTCTTAAATGGGATAATGTCCTCGCTCCTCGGCTTATTGAAAATAATGACCTCGCGCTGCGCGATCGGTCATTATTTTTTTATAAGCCTCSGAGCTCATCCATTATCCTATACTTAAAAATTGGTCAACAGCGTTAATCCTCGACATACACCTAAAAACTAAAACGTTGTCCTAAGATTTGGGAAATTAGGAATACATTAAATTACAAAAGATGACCACCGATGATGAACACTTTCTTTTGTATTTTAATGAATTTCTAAATAGCAAAAGTTCGTTTTCTTCGTTGGACAAKGTTTTTATTATTAAGGTTTGCTCGAAATCATGGTTTTATAACAACTTAAATGAGATATAAAAAGCGCGCTGAATACGTGTTAGATAGTGTATGCACAGCTAGTAATTGTGAATTGATTATCCCCATGATCCTTTTTTGAATTCAAATCAGAGTCATTCTTAACTCGAAGATTGCGATGCAATCGAAGAGTTATTGGAGGGGGACGAATCTGTCACTCACTAAGTCAGTCACTCAGTCTGTCACTCACTTTCCTGTAAACTTAAGCCTGCGTTACTTGTGTTTTGAATTATTAATTTATTTTTATTGTTTTATAGTAATTTATTCGCTAATTTTCAGTTACCGATCTCCCTGTGCTATATTAGTCTCCTTCGCTGTCTCCACTTTTGACAACATGGGAGGCTGCGAATGAGACTAGTGCTATATTTAATTGAATTTATTTATTTTTTGGCAAATAAAGAAATAAAGGAAGTATGGACTCATCTAGGTCTCGACCCTGGGCCCACTGGATCGGAAATCAAATGCACGAACACTCGTCCACTCGTGTTAATGTTGAATAATAACAGCTAGACTTATCTTTTAACTGGCATTCGCTACTGCTTGTCTAGAATCGAAAGTTAAAAGAATGAGATTTTAACGAAAAAAACTACATTCATAAATCGCTTAGTTAAAAGTCTATTTGTTAAGTAATTAAAATTTGATTCATCGTATCATTCCGTATTCGTCTACACAATCCATRTTAGAGTTGTTGTCAAGCCATTAGTGGCGGCTTGTTTTGATTGTGGACGTGTAGTATTACAGGCTATTGATTGTGAAAAAATATCAGACAGTGAAAAGTCGTGGAATATTTTTATGTCAATAATCAAACAAATCAATCAGTCCATCGGTGATTAATTTTATTTTTATTAAGATGTTCTAAGTAATTTTAGATTTCTAAGTCATTTGAAGACAAATGTGAAACGTTTCTCTACATATCATGTATGCGGGCCGCAATCAACTCTGTGTCCTTCTGTCATCCTATTGAGTCCCATGGTTTTCTCGTTCGTTAGGTTCGTGTTGCCTGGGTCCAAACAAAGGAACCGTTTTGTCATACTTGTGAGCCTGAAGAAAAATGCGGTAGAATAGAAATCAAGATCCTTGAAAGCCTTAAACAACTGAACAGAACAGTTACGGTGACGACGTACCTTTCGAACGAAAGCCTGAATGGCATTCACTACCTGTAAACATAGCACAATAAAAAAAATTAAACAAAGATCATAAAAAGGAACATATATGACAACTTTTATAAAACAATTGAGTTTTAACAGAGATATAGCTAATTTTAATACTGAAAGAGATTTTTGCAGTGTTAACGGTTTGGTGAGTTCAGTCAGTGCTGATTCATGGTCGGTATTGTTGGTTAGTTCGGGTAAATCAGGTTGTCTCATTTGGTGTAAGGTTCGTCGGTTTGGTATATTTAACCGAGCGCACGGTCTACCCCGAGAGAATGGACTGGATGGCTTCCCACAAATCTGCGCGCCTCGCGCATTAAATCGAGGTCAGGGTCAGAGAAAAGAAAGGGCAAATCCGGAGATCCACGGAGAGATCCATCTAGACGGGAGAAAAATTCAATCAAATCAGGCCATTTTACACTCCAATGTACACGGTCAAATAATAATTAAAAGGGGAAAATATCCGATAATATGTTGTTACTTTCAATCACGAATAAGTTGTTTTTGACAAAACGTTGTCATTGAATATAATCTTTTTGCTTATGGCAACTAAGTATATACATCTTATATACCCAAAACTTTCTCGCTTCCTCAATATCTTGTTATGCGATAGACTTTTAGTCTCTGTTTCAAAAGTATCTATCAATCATTCTAAGCTAAGTATTATTTATAGATATCATTTGTTTATGATTAGCAAGATCTTCAAAGCTCCAGTATTTAGCAGATATATGGGAAAAATCATATAATTATATCGAAGGTTAAGTATAATGTTATAATATTTGTCTTTAGGAGTAAGATATTTCTTTTACTATGTTCAAGTAGGGTTGCGCCACGATTTAGCGCTCATTACTCCCTTGGCCTCCATGTTATCATTATACATCTGCAACCAATGGGAACTCTTCTCCTAGAGCCAAGTTGGGTAAATCGACATATTAGGGATTTTAGGACAATTATCGAAAAACAGAGGAAATGTACAATATTCCTCATAAATCATGTAATCACGTTAAAACTTGGATAAAATAGTTGAATAGCTCAGTTCAGTTGAACAATGAAGCAGTAAAGAAGTACAATAAAGCTCTACGAGCAAGTTACCCCATTAAAGCGTCCAACAGTCKTATTACAATTAGACGCTAACTAAGCGGGCTAGCAAGCGTAAACATAATTCTTTGCACCGTAAAAGTGGAAAGAGAAGTWACTGACGTTTCGAACGTTAGTCTTTCAACGAATTCCAAATTCCATGGCACAGAAGCAAGAAATTTTGCATATCGAGACCTCAAGCATATCATTGTTTGGACATATAATCTTTATTTATTATATTTACATTAACAGTTAATTCTACAGCTTTTTCAAACAAATTAAAATCGTTTTCTAAAGCATTAAAAAATTGTTCATGGACTGCTGTGATCAACGATAACCACAAGAAGATGGCCTTTCGCTCGATCGACCAATGTGAGAACTATCGTTTTGGGATCCCTGTGGTCCAATTCGCAAAGGGTCTTGGGGACTATACGCAGCATTGCCAGAAAGATCGATAGATAGATTGATGGATTGAAGAAAAGGTAGAACTTAAGGCGTGCGCCTACGGCTAGGCCCCCTGATAATATTAGTGATTACCTTGCCCATGTTTTTTCTCTCGTACAAGTCTGCTGGGTCGAACATGTCAACCGGAAGGCAATTGAAGGGAGACTTCTGACATGCGTCTATAAACAGGAAAATGTTTTCTTGCCTCTAAATAAAAGAAATATAGTCTTCAATCAATGAAGAATTCGATAACATGTGATGATGGATGTGACCATGTAACGAGGAGATGTTAGTGATGATGGACCATGTAACGAGGAGATGTTAGTGATGATGGACCATGTAACGAGGAGTGATGATGGACCATGTAACGAGGAGATGTAAGTGATGATGGACCATGTAACGAGGAGATGTTAGTGATGATGGACCATGTAACGAGGAGATGTTAGTGATGATGYACCATGTACCTTGGCGTCTTTCATCTTGTCGCCTGAGTGATACTTTTTAATAGCGCCTGGTTCTACTTCGTTCATGACTCTAAAATATATTGACACAATGATCGAGATACAATTAATTAATTAATGCTGGATCTTCAATTGATACATTAGTTATACTGACAGTCTTGTGTTGGTTTGTCTTAACTTCCGTTAAAACCATACGCAATYTGAAYTCGTTACGATAAAGGTGAATACTGTAGCAGGGTTTGGAACATAGAACCAGCTAAACTTCGAAAATGAGAGTGGAATAATAAATAGTGCAATATAGCGTTGCTTTCAAAATATCAGAAAAGCCAAGACCTCGGTAAGTTTGTGGAGAGTTATGCTGCCTTAATAGGAATGACAAAATTGCACGATAACCCCTTTTATTTTACATTGTGCAATTTTCCATCGTTTSACGTCATCCATTTGTTACAGAAACATAAAAAACATGATTACCTGCACAAAATAACACCATCATCCAGGGCATCAGCGAAACCATCCCATGGRTTACTATATTCGTGTTCTATACCCCAGTTAAGAGTCTCTCCAGTCATCATCTCCAACCAGTCTCTGCACTGCATTTCRGCCTGTTTATCGTAGTTTCTCTCCATCTAAAAAATAAACATTTATCAACGGTTACAAGCATGAAAGTCAGCGAAAATAAAAAAAAAAATAGTCAATCGAGTACGGCATYTGACTCAGACCACTAAGAGATTATAGTCAACGCAGGTAGTAAAGGCGCGGAATAGATGTAGAAGATGTAGCATTTGAGTTTGTAGATTGCAGGTTCTCTTCCTTGCTCAGAGGGTTTTTTCCAGGTACTCTAGTATATGCAAAAAAATTCTTTGAGTGCGCTCCTCTAAGATGTACGCCTCGTTGCCAGAACAAAAAAGCGTCAAAACATGGCTATACAGAAGGACGTCGYCTTACTAAAGATAGACACCCAGTGTGCAAGAACCTCAGCAGTCCTTTGATGACGCCAAAAAAGCAATAAACCGATGGAGATTGCAAGTACCCATTGAAGATATCGTAATCATAGAGCAATATTGTCAAGTTGAAGTTGCCATGTGGATGATGGTATATACAACTGATTCGCGGTTCTCAGCAGACTTTACTGATCAATATATAAATATTTTCTTTATCTTTCTCGTACCCAGATCAGGCCCGTAACCACGTGRACCCCCAAGAGAGGCTGAAGGTCCGCTAATCTACCTCCATGTGTTTTAAAAAACTACATGAATCTTTGTTTTAGCTTTTTCATCAATTTAGCCGAATTTATTACGAATCTGCCGGATTTGAATTTCAAATCGAACTCGATTCAAAGTGGATCTGCGAAGGACCTTGTATAAGGTGTCAGTGATAACGTATAATTACAGCATAATAAAGAAAATCAGAAACAGTAATTCACYATCTCGTACCTCGAGCCTTCGTTTTTCTTGGTCAGCGCTGTCGACAAACATAAGAAGTCTTGCGTTTTCAGCGCTGGCCAAGAGAACGAAGGCTCGTGTACGAGAGCCTCTCAATGATTGAGTAATTCAACTATAAYGTACAATAAGTGTATTACGCTCGGTGTATTTCATGGGATTTAAAAAGCTCTCTCTCCACAGTCTCTCAGAATTTTTTRCCCCGCGTTATCGCTTGTAAAGACAGGATTATATACAATTCTGTGCCTCTAGCTGAACAACCGCTGATACAGCGTTCGGGAAATTTCTTCTACTAGAAATATCCTTTTTTTTGTCAACTCTTTTGCTTTCATAAAATCAATGAGATTTGTTSATTTTTGAGCTATGATCAGTGCTTAAAACATAAAGGTGAAGTAAATCATTTGGCATATAGTAACTCTTTATGATGTGTCCGATGTTCCACAATATACTTCATATTATTGTAATAGGCAAATTAAACATGTTTCTTTTTAATACTGTATCATAATAACTGAAAGAAATGWGAATTTTCGTAGAGCACACGTACAAAGTTAATTCTCGGCCCAAAAAGAAACTCAGAAATATTCAAATTAATTAGGACGTAACTTTGTTTTCAGTTTTCAGCAAAAAAAGTCCATAATTGATCAGGTTTGATTAATTATTCGTATATAATTATCATAATCATTCTGGACCCCTATGGACTAACTCAAAGTTCTTTTAATTCCAATCATTTGTAGAAATTTTTGAGTGTTCAGTGAAGTACCGCAATAGTTTTCTGATAGTGTTAGTTTGTAATTTTCACAAAGTTTGCAAATTATCGTGAATAAAATACCAAGCACAAGGGGATGACTGACAATCTTATTTAAGCTTATTTACATCAAGCCATGAATTCGGCTTCTTTAAAGATTTACATCAAGCTGCGCAATGAAACGCTAKRTTGCGTACAGACCAACAWTCGAAAGATATTCGCTGATTATTGGTGATGATTATCAGCTAACAAATCGTCAGAGATAGAGAAAACTTTGTGTAGAAACTAACAGACTGAGGAGCACGCAGATKCCCAGTGSATACTAGAGAGATTTTWAAAATGGATACGAACGAATGAGCACTGGATCCAACTTTTGCGTTCCTTATGGCAAAACATCGTCGTAAACAAATATTACAAATTGCAAGTCATCGAGTACAAGGCTTGTCTAAATGCGCAGTTAATCTGAAAACGGAGGTACAACTGAGGTGTGGTGATTTTACAGTGTAATGACGACGGACTTTCAAAAGCGAACAATCATGATGTATTACTGRGCAGCGAAAGTGATATCACGTGTAAGAGCAGGGAAGTGGTTGCTTCATTTAGGTCACTCTATTAGCAGTAACTTATGACACGTGCAGATAGGTTAGTTTATCTTATATTTTTAGCGGTGTTTGGGTTGTTAAAATGACCATCTTTAAACAGGTCATTTAGATTTAGTGCAATGACACAGTTTGGTCAGTAAAGCATAATCGCAAACCAACAGGAAAAAGCAAATACGTGTTTACCTTGCGTTCCAGTTCTGCCATATCTCCATACGATTTGTGACGATTTGATCCTCTTCTCTTTATATGACTCATGATTAACGGCTGCCAAGAACTACTATATGAGCAAGGGACGCCCTCCAAAATGAATTAAACCTTAGTATATTGTTTTGAAAAATGCCCAGTTYGAGTCGTTACGGTGCTATGGATATGCGACACAAATATTACCGTAAAAGAATAAAGTATGGCGCTTGTTTACAGTTTGGTTTGGTGGACAATGAGTCGGCAAATGGATGGCATTTTACATTGTCGGAAAGCCATCTTTATTCATAATTTTCTACAATCGTCGAATGAATGAATTCCATATAGCTCCGGTGTTTTCAAGAATAACGATTTTTTAAGACCAAACAACAGCAGTATGATATGCCTCGTCTTTTCAGTAAACAGTGTCAGACTTTTCAGGCATCCGCTTACCTTCCCTCGTCGTTGTATTCTCTCAAATATTCTCTCTTTACACGTCGTACCATGTTTATGGCGTTCATCTTTCCATACTCAGAGTTGAGCTCCAGGCCACCAGTTGTCTTGCCAAACACGCATTTCAATTTGACATTTTTGCAATTTATCTCCTTCTCATTCTGAGATTCAGGCTACATTATCTCTAATACAAAATGAGTTGTGGAGTTACTTTGCAGAATATACCAAATATGCAGCATATACTCTGGAATTTAGACGTCAGCAACTGACAGAAAACTTATTCAAAGAAATTGTCGCTGATATCAATCACAACCTACACCATCTCCTACCAGAACAAACCAATAATAATAATTATGCATTAAGGAAAAAGCACATCTTTCAGCCTAAGTTCAAAACTAATCGTTCTAAAAATAGTTTTATAAACACCAATAGTTTGACCTTCAATTTTTAACTATCCCTGTACATATATAATTTAATATATAGAATTTTTATGATAATTTTGAATTGTTTTTGTAAGCGATAACATAATTCAGCCCTGTGGCTGCTAGTTTTATTTGCATTAAAGTATCTATCTATCTA